CCTGGGAAAAGCAATGTGCTTAGACAGATGATGTGATTTTATGAGCACATAGCTGAAGTCTAGCAGTGTGCATTTGTCTTTATGCTCCTACTTTTTTCAGGGACTATGAAAACACATTTAGGCAGTAGTTTCGCTTTCCAACAATGGACTGCAAAGCCTTTGACAGTACATAGCATTTGCATTGCTGTTGTTCATGATGCACATCAAAGTATAGATCACTTTCAGCAGAGAATCTTAATCTCAGTTTGTTAATAAGAAAACAGGAACCTTAGTATATGAACTCATTTTATTATCTACCCTCACTGAGGACTGATTTGGATTCCACTCAAATATGAATTAGTTTAAATGTTGCTCTGCTGCAACTGTCGAATTTATTCATTATGTTGTAATATTTTACTTATGGAACTGCATTTGGAAATCCTTTGGTATATATCAAGATGAAATTACAGTGCTCAGGGATATTGATTATTGCTTGTAATTGCCATCATAATAGCCAACAATTCTCTGTCTTTCTTTGTCTTTCTTCTACCTCTTAATGATATACCAAACAAAATCAATATCCAGCATATGGGGCCACTTACATTGTCTCAAAAATCCAATTGTTCTCCTTCATAAATATGCAAAGGATCGAAGATTTTAATCTCCAAACAGTGAATAAAAAAGCCCCATACTGCTAGATTTCTCTTCTATCCCATAGGAACATATCAGAGTGTTGCTGTGTAGGATCAGTTATATGCAAGTGACATATTATCGCCTCCAGTGTCACCACAAAGTTGTGGTGGGGAAATGGGGAGGCTTCTCCACTCTGCTGTTTGTAAAGTGCTATACTTCTTCCTCAACTAGTAAATTAGATGGCCAAAGGGGAAAACATAGGCTGGGAGAGATAACCAGACATTAAAGAAGAAATCTACCTCCTTATGACATGGAGGTGATTATTTCAGGGACTAAAGAGGAAGTACAATCAAATGGAAGAAACATAATGCTGTGAGTCACTTTTTCAATAAAATATGTTTATTCTTATTTCTACTACATACTGTTTGTCCATTTTGGGGATACGTTCAGTGCCTTTAGAAGCAGCAATAACTCCTTTACAGTCTTAACGACTGAAGACTAGCTTCTTTCTAATGGTTCCCCATTCATTCAAAAAAGTTAAGATGGTCTTTAAAACTTACTATGAGAACATGTGACATACGGAAAAATAGATATGTATTATGAAGTACTATTTGAATAGATTGTATTTGGTTAGCCCTGGTCAGTTAACCCAGAAGATTAGATAGAACCTGGTGGTAATCTGGTGAAGACTGGTTGGCAGGTAGCACAGTGTGGTGGAAATACACTATTTTGCAAGCCCTCGATTCTAACTACATTGATATCATTAACTACTGATGTTTCTTTTAAATAATCCAGTTTTATTCTCTGGGCCTCCATTTCCCTAACTGCAAAATGAGGGTGTTGGGCTGCTAGCTGATTTCTGAGATCCCTCTAACTCTGTGATTCTGTAGCCATCATTCTCACGTTTTTCTCTCAGGTCCCAAAGGCCTGAGAGAAAAAGGGTAAAAGTGTGGCTCAATCCAATATCATCCACATGCCAAAATCAACACAAAGCATGCTTCTTCTGTGCCCTATAAGGCCTGGATTCAAAGCTTCATGTGTCCACTAACTGCAGAACCCTGATATACTGTACTGTAATGTCGTGGTTAAGATCAATGGCTCTGGAGCCAGACTGCTTGGACTTGAAAGTTGTCTTTACCAGTACTAGCTGCGTGACCGTGGACAAATTACTTAACCTCTCTGTGCACTGGTTTTCTCATCTGTAAATGTACATACTTACTGTAATGGGATTGTTGTGAAGATTAAATTATATAATGCTTTCTGAATTAATTAGAATAATGTCTGGCACAAGTAAGCACTTAATGAATGTTACCTCTTATTATCATTATTATGATAACTATTATCATTACCACTTTGCTCCTACTAAACCTCTTTCGATCTCTGTTTCATCATCTGTAAGATTATAATAATAATATCAACCCCACAGATGTATTAGGATCAAAATATTGCATATACTGTACCTACTTTGGTGCCTGGCTTTTCTAGGTGCTTAATAAATTATGTTCACATAAATAGAGCCCACTGTTCATGTGGTTGGTATTAGTCACTGCATTTTTCCCACTGACCCCATTCATGTGGTTGGTATTAGTCACTGCATTTTTCCCACTGACCCCACTCCCAATCTTTTTGATACTAGTTACAAGAACAATACAAGCTCAAGGCAGAAAACTTCAAAAAATACCCCTACTATCCAAAGGTAACACAAATTATTATCTTTCCATGAGCATATATATTTTTTTATTTTAAAAATTGTATTCTATTGCCCATATTGTTTTGAAACCTACTTGCTTTTACCTGGTGATATCTGTAAACACTTTTCCTAGTGAATAGATATTCTTTTACAGTGCAATTTGTAATGGTTGTATAGTATTCTACTGCATGTTTATAAAATAATATACTTACCCAACTATCTATTAATGAGCATTTGGGTGTTTATCTTTTGCTGTTATAAGTAACACTTCAATGAATGACTTTTTATATACATTGTCATACACATCATTTCCTAAGGATAAATTCCTATAGGCATAATTTTTGGACAGGGAATATGCATATTTTAAGTCTTTTGTTACGTAATGCCAAATTATCTTCCAGAAAGGCTTGTGAATCTCCACTCCCCTCAGCAATCCTGCCCTTTAAATAACTTTTATCCTCATATACTAAAGCAAAACTCTCTAATATGGATATTTTCATTAACTGGCATGTTGACAGTTGTTTTCTCCTTTAAACATGTATGCTTTTGTTCTTTAAAAATGGAAGCTAAAATCAGTCTTAAAATATTCTTAATGATTTATGCATTTGGGCGTATGTGACATGTACAAGGTGATGTTGGCTCTTTGCTCAGCGGAAGGGTCTTGTGATGTATTACATGAAAATGTGGCACCAGAATGTTTTTTGTTTAGCAGTGCATTTTACTGCCCAGGCAGCATAGTAGATTGAGGACTTTGGAGCTGGAATGGCTTGAGATCTCATTCTGGCTTTGTTATTCATTTCCTAGGTGGATTTAAGCAAGTTACTTAACCTCTTTCAGCCTCCATTTCCTTAAATACACCATGCAGATAATAATGTAGCCTATTTCATATGAATGAACACTAACTGAGATAATGAGTGTTTAACACAATGCATGGCACTTAGTACCCGATAAGGGTAAAGTATTGCACAAAAACATATTTTTATGCCAACTCCTTACATGTGAATAAATCACTACTGTTTATGAAATACCCATATTACAATAGTCATGAGCTGTCAATAATCATCCTCTAGTAATTCAAACATGACAGCAATATGAAGTTCCAGGACAGGCAAAAGTAATGTAGGGTAGAAAAAATGCAAAATAGTGGTTGCCTCTGGGGGTTAGGGAATAGGGATTTACTTCAAAAGGCAGGAGGACACTTCCTGGGGTGATGGGAATGTTCTGTATCTTGATAGGGGTTTAGGTTACACAGGTGATTGCATTTGTCAAGTCTCAGTAAATGTACACTTAAAATTTGTGCATTTCATTGTGTATAATTTTTTATATTATATTTACATATAACAGTTTATAAGTTTAAGGTGTCCAACATGTTGATTTGGTACATTTATATATTGCAGTACAATTGCCATTTGTAGTGTTAGCTAACACCTCTGTCACATAATTATCATTTCTTTCTTGTGGTGGGAATAGTTAAGGTCTACTGCCTCAGCAAGTTTGATATTTATTTTACATTATTATTGTCTATAATAATACTGTGCATTAGACCTCCAAGACTTATCTATCTGCTAGTTGCAAATTTGTAACCTTAAACATCTCCCTATCCCCCACCTCTCAGCTCCCGGTAACCAACACTCTCCTCTTCATTTTAACAAGTTCATGGATGGACCTCGAGGATATTATGCTGTGAGATAAATCAGACAGAGAAAGGCAAATACTGTATGATATCACTCATATGTGGAATCTAAAAAACTCAAACCCATCATGTATAAATTTTACATTAAAAATCTGTAAAAAAAATTACTGAACTCTAGATAATAATATGAAAGTTGAAATATGTGAAGGGAAGTGTACCGATGTATGCAGCTTACTTTGAAATGCTTGAATAAAAAATGAAATGAAATGTTTTAAAAAAAGACGGACTAAGATAGGAATGGAGAGGTGGATAAATATGTGATAGAGTGAATATAGTCATATGTTAAGTATAGAATCTAGTTGACAAGTACATCTGTGGTTTTGGGTTTTTTTTAATTTTTAAAATTGTTTATTTGATAACAATCTTTTAAAATTTGAATCTAGCATTTCTAAGGCCAGTGCTGCTCAACTGGATACGCACATCAAACTTACCTAGGACGTTTTATTAAAATATACATGCTTAGGACCTACTCCAGATTTACTGAATCTCTTTACTTGATATTTCTCTTGAGTAGATGTGTGTTTATTATAAAATTCTTTCTTTGGCTGTGTGTTTGGCAATTTTTATAATAAAATATTGCGTGAAAATATGTCTGTGAAAGCTGGTCTCTAAATAAAATACTGGTCTCTAGGCCATTGATATTATCAAAACGCTTGATGATACTTCTCTTTCTCTTTTTGAGTATTATATTTAATGAAAGGGAGCAGTATAGTTAATACCATCAAATGTGGAATGTTAATGCTCAGAATTTGAGAATTTCATTAGTCAACAAGTCAGGGAAAAGAAGACCTCTTTCCTCCTCTTAAAAGTCTAAAATAGGAAAACAAAAAGGAGATCACCAGTGGCACTTTGTAGTTAAGTGTTAGGTATAAGAAAATTTTGTTGAGTTCCTCCTAGTTGTCCTGTGCTTTGTCATAGCATGATTGTTTCAAATTAGTGGAATTTGTATTTCTGTAGCAAGTGGCTTTGGTTTTGATAGCCCAAACTTTTGTTTCCTTTCCGCAGGCATTTCCTGTTCAAACATGGATCTGGTTCCTCGGCCATCTTCAGTGCAGCCAGTCAGAACTACCCTCTGACATCCAATACTGTGTACTCGCCTCCTCCCAGGCCACTTCCTCGAAGCACCTTTTCCAGACCTGCCTTTACCTTCAACAAACCCTACAGGTGCTGCAATTGGAAGTGCACGGCCTTGAGCGCCACTGCAATCACAGTGACTTTGGCCTTGTTACTAGCCTATGTGATTGGTAAGCCCTTTTTTCCATGCTTCGCTTTTCTTCTTAATCAAAGTATTGTTTTGCTTGTGGTGGAGTTGGGACCGGGGCGGGGGGGGCGGTGGGTTTCTCTCTCTACTCTGCGACCTACAAATTTGAACTAAGGCTTAGTATTATCGATAACAAATAGAGAGCTCTTTCCGTAGTGTAGTGGTTATCACGTTCGCCTAATACGCGAAAGGTCCCTGGTTCGAAACCATAATTCAAAAAGAGTCATGTACCAAAATGTTCATTGCAGCTCTATTTACAATAGCCAGGAGATGGAAACAACCTAAGTGTCCATCATCGGATGAATGGATAAAGAAGATGTGGCACATATATACAATGGAATATTACTCGGCCATAAAAAGAAACGAAATTGAGCTATTTGTAATGAGGTGGATAGACCTAGAGTCTGTCATACAGAGTGAAGTAGGTCAGGAAGAGAAAGACAAATACCGTATGCTAACACATATATATGGAATCTAAGAAAAAAAATGTCATGAAGAACCTAGGGGTAAGACAGGAATAAAGACACAGACCTACTAGAGAATGGATTTGAGGATATGGGGAGGGGGTAGGGTAAGCTGTGACAAAGTGAGAGAGTGGCATGGACATATATACACTACCAAACGTAAAATAGATAGCTAGTGGGAAGCAGTTGCATAGCACAGGGATATCAGCTCGGTGCTTTGTGACCACCTAGGGGGTGGGATAGGGAGGGTGGGAGGGAGGGAGACGCAAGAGGGAAGAGATATGGGAACATATGTATATGTATAACTGATTTACTTTGTTATAAAGCAGAAACTAACACACCATTTAAAGCAATTATACTCCAATAAAGATGTAAAAAAAAAAAAACAAATAGATTTCTAATTAGGTTATTTATTTATTTTTTGGTACTTCCTAACCTTAAATACTGCTGAGGAGTGTAAGGATTGCTCTTTGAGAAGAAATATTTATGCTACTAGCACAGTCTTATTGATTGCAATTACTGTAGTTAACTATTTCCCCTTCAATTAAAAGGTTGTTATGGTTTTCTCATTAGAAGTCATAAGTACCAATCTACAATAGCTTCTTAAATTATAGTTAAACAATAATACTGCTACCGAACTTTCAGGTAGCAATTTCATTAAAGTAGTAGTTACTTGGAAGCTATCGGAAAATCCAGGGCATAATCTCTTTCCAAGAATGCAGAGTTTTACACTGGGACTAAAAAAAATGTCTTCTTATTTTCACTAGGTAAATGGCTACAGAATTGTGTGATTACTGTGTTTGTGAGGGTAAAAGAGAAAACAGTAGTGAGGCACACTTTCCACTTTTAAGAAAAATGTTGTTCTTGAGGCATCTTGATTAAAGTCACCCTTACTTGATAGCAAATTGTATTGATTTTTCTGGCTGGCATTTTATTTTGACTGAACATTAATTTCCTTGTCTGAGTGGTTTTACAGTCTAAGATGTAAATTAACTTAAAAAACATGTATTTTGTGGGAGCACTGTTCCTATAAGAATAGCATATCATGGTAGAAAAAGAATTCTAAGTACGTCACTTGTATCTTCTTTTCAGGTTTAGCCTGATTTCTTAATTGAAGGGGAACTACCCACAAAGATACATTGAATATGATTCTGAGAGATAGATTAAAAAGGAATTTAGAGTTTCTTATAATTATAAAAAAGTAAGTTTTGTTGAGTCTGATTTATTAAAAAACGTGAACAATAAGAAATTTCCCATAACCAGTTTTTATAAGAGTCACAGAACAAAGGGTAGTAAGTTAAATAAACAGATATATTTTGTAGGGGAGTCACTGATAATGTCAACAGTATAGGATCATAGCCTATATTGATGTTCATGATTATCTCTTTTCTATTTTCATCGTACAGTCTGAATATGTTTGAACAATGCTTCTATTAAAGGTGGATAATATTAACCTATAATATCAAAATGTGTCCTTTATCTCAGACATTTCAGGATAACCCAACATGTATGTTTATTTGTTTTGTAATAACGTTTAATGAGGAATAGCGCTGAAGGAATGGAGGTTGGAGATGAGAAAGTACTGTAATATAAACAGGGTTTTAATATGGTATCATTCAAAGCAAGGAGTAATTTGAAAAGTTGAAATACATTAGAGGCCCTTTAAAATGTTACTGTTCAATTATGAGACCAACTCTTATCTTATAGGTTAGCTTCTATTAACTTTTACTATACAGAGAGATAATATTTTAGATTCAAGACTTTACCTCTGGAATAAACAAATCCAGGTATAGCAAGCTTCTTATTAATAGGTTTATACTGTGTTCAAACCTATGTTTCTATTTAAATTTATTATATGGCCACTCATATAAAAAATTGTATTATATACTCTGAGACTTGTTTAGTTAGATTATGTTGATTCATTTCAGAAGCAAAAGTGGAGGGTTTCCCTGGTGGTCCAGTGGTTAAGACTCTGCGCTTCCACTGCAGGGGGCACGGGTTTGATCTGTGGTCGGGGAAGTTCCACATGCCATGTGGTGCGGCCAGAAGAAAAAAAAAAAGTGAAAGCAGAATGTTTCAGTTATTTCAAGGACTGCCTTTTTTAATAGGGTAAACAATGGCATATAAATCTGATATGACAGTAAGGCTGTATAGTACAACGGTTATGAGCATGGATTTTTCAGACCTCTGCCGCTTCTTAGGCATGTTACCTTGGGCAAATTATTCACCCTTTTAAGGCCTCCATTTCCTCATCTGTAAAACTGTCTTAAAACAGTACTTGTAACATAGGGTTTTCATAAGAATTAAATGAGTTAATATAACTAAAGAACTTGGAATAGGACTTAAAACACAGTAAGTATACTATAAATGTTAATTATTGTTGTTGTTACCATAACTACCTGTATAATCATTATTCACTATTAAAATTCACTGGTTCTCAGAGTTAGCCATTTTATTCATGGCTGTACCCCAGCACTAAGAACAGTGCCTGGCCCATAGCAACCCTGTCGGTAAAAGTTTATTGAAAAAAACACATTATGCTAAGCACTCTACTTGTATTAGCTCATTGCATTATCAGAACGGTCCTTAAGGTAGCTATCAGTATTAAATCTATTTTATAAATGAGGAAACTGAGGCACAGCCAAGGTAAGAGATCACATAGAGGTCACAGCACTAAGAAGTAGGGATCCTGAGCTTTGAGCTTTGAGCCAGAGCAGCAGACTGACCCCAGAGGACATGCTGTTGAGTGCTAGGCCTTGCTGCCCTTCTAGCACTGCAGCAGAACTTACAGATCATTTACTTCTTGGTCTACTAAATAAATCCACCATTTTTTTTCTTATTAAATCACAAATTAAATTAGATTTACCAGGTCATCCATTGCAGTAGTTACTGCAGCTGAGATTTGTGGATCAGTGAGAGATATCTGTTGAAATGCTTTTCTGTGTGACTTTGAAAATGCAGAAGTATCAGGCTAAATACTAGAACAGTAGGTTGAGTGGGTTCGAAATGAGGAGATGTTGATGGCAAACACTGGAACTTTGTTCTGAGTTCTGTCATGGACTGGACATTATGTGACTTTGGATAATCAGTTAAAATCTCTTCCTCTACTTACCTCATCCATCACTGACCACCTCAGGAGGGCAGAGTAAGAATTCATAAAGAGGCATTCAAGTGAAAGATGTCGCATAAGAACTGTAACATACAAGATGATTTTTAAATGGCTTTCTGTGGTTGAAATAAAAAAGTATTATATTTCAAAATACGAAACCATTTCACTCTCAACTCTTGCTGAGTCTATAAGAGTCATCTGGTTTTTTTTCAGTCCCCCTTTGCAGTTTCTGTATAACCCAAGTAAGATCTTTCACTGAACCTATTTACCGCTTCTGTTTCCCGTGCAAATTTCTTTCTGCTATTTCATGTTCCTCTATTATCCATTATACGTAACCTTTAGATACGAATGGCTATAGGCTGTGCTGCCCTCAATCCACTACGGGAAATCACATCAATATCAATGGGACATCAATAGATGTTCTGTGCATTATGGCTCTGTAAGTGGTCATTGGAAAGCAGTGCAAATCCAACAAGTGAAAAGTCAGAGCTGGATTATTCAGGCAACCAGCCCCATCCCCACTCCTACCCACTATACATTTTGGGTCAGCAAGTAAGTAATTTCTTTGAATAAGTTTTGAGGTCATAAAATTCAGTGAAGGGAGGCATGGAAAGATACTGATTATTTGAAGATATTATGGAATGGCTATTGTCATCACTTACCCATAAATCTGTAATATTTTCCATCTGAATCAAAAAATATGTCCTTACGCTTCATCCTCTCTGATATTTTGGCATCAGTGATGTATCAGTGCCAGTCAGAAGCACATTTGCTTGAATTTACAAATAAGCCATATGAAGTAGTAGTCAGGAAGACAGATGACCATTTGCAAGGCATCAAGAGGAGGCGAGGTTAAGGTGCTTCATCAATGGTTGTGAAGGGCACAAACTCGGCTTCTTTGGTAATCTTTGATGTTTTGATCAAGTTTCTCCACAGTCAGCAGTTTGTATAAGAGGCAATAGGAACTCACAAGAATACATTGTGCCTGGGGTCAAATGGACTGTTGCATTGAATGATTTGGGGAGTAGGGATTTCTGTCTCTCAAACCCAATATCATCAGTTAATGATATCAATGTTCTTTTTCTTTTGCCATGAAATTAGTAGTGACTCATACCACCTTCAGGGGATGCAGGTAGTGTCCAAACTCTACAAATGAAATAATTTAAGTCCATGAATCTCCTTGCCGTGACATACTATATAGCCCACATGTAGAAAGTTGACCAGAATGGTTGTTAATACAGAATTAGGAGAGATAGAATATTGAGCCCAATTCTGTGATTGAAAGTTTAGGGATGAAACTATTCGAGAGGGCAAAGGGCCTACTGCACCTTGCTCTCTGCATCAAAATTGAGTAACAATGATTTTAGTGCTTTCTTCTGCCTCCTTTATACTAGTCCAAATTGCTCTACT